AGTACTTCCAGTTCCAGTAAATCTGTGCTCTTTTGGCACCAAGTGATAAAAAAATGAGACTCAACAAGGGGAGACCACTTTTCCCAGTACTGATGTGGGAAACCTTGAGTGTGTCTGGCAGAGAAAGAGCAGGAAAGTCAAGGAATCAAGGCACCGAGTCATATGAGGAATGGTTGAAAGAGGTGGGTATATTTTACTCTGCAGATAATATGACAGTGGTCTTCAAATATCAAGGGGTGTCATATAGAACAGTGTTTCCCAGCTTTGGTAACCTAGCTGTTCCTGGACTGCAGTTCCCAGAAGCCTTCACGACCAGTTGTGCTGCTGGGGTTTCTGGGAGTTGCAGTTCAAGAACATCTGGGTTACCTAGGGTCGGGAACTACTGATGTAGAAGATGGAACAGAGCTGATCTTTGTTGCTCCAGAGGGCACAAGCAGGATCAATGTGTGGATATTGGAGAGAAGCAGATTTCAGCTAAATATCAGCAGAAACATCTTGACAGCAAGAGCTGTTCAAGAGTGGAAGACATAACTATTTATCTCACTCTCTCTTTTCCCCCCTCCATTTACTTTTAATATAATACTGCTTTGCAGTGGTAGCATTTTTCATTCATATATAGACATTCCAATAGTTTAGATACATTCTGCATTGTGAGCATACTAATAATAATAATGGGAAACATATTATTTCTATTACATACTAGCCACAAGATTTCTTGATGCCTGGTGAAAATTATATATTTAAAATCAGAAACTGAAAAGTTGCAGAAACTTGGGATAAAACAGTGGTGGACTGTGTCCTTTTCTCTAATTTATTATGTTTTCGCCCATATAAAGCACCATTGGAACAGTTAAAACACCAGTTAAAACCAATCAAATTAATTAATGATATTGTGTTTCTGTTTTATTAATTGATTATTTAGTAGTTAATAAAGCAGATACACAGCACTGAAAGGCCTTACAATACATGAATAAAAAGTGTTGAAATCTCATAAAAACAAGAGTTTCCAGTGGTTGCCGAAAAACAGAGATGGGGCAACAGGGAGGGCACTTCAAGGCATATGGTACCATAGCAGAAAAGGCCCTGCCTCTCATTTCTACCTTGATAGTGTCAGATGGCAAAGAAACATGGGGCACGGAATAGATGGTTACAACTTGCTGGCTTGCTTGTTTGAGCCTTCTCTAAAGAGAAAAGGAGCCACTGTGACTGGCTTCCACAGCACATGCCTTCCAGGTTGAATCCCTTAGCTCCAGTTTTTGGCATCTCCACTTGAAAAAATAAAGCAACATGCAAAGGAAAGCACTTTAGTGTTATGAAGCTTAGACCATGACAAATGGGAGCCAAGATATCCTCACACCACACAGTCTACTAAATGCCCAGAGTGAGTCTTGTCATCTACAATTCAATCAGAGATGAACAAAGACTGGTTGTGATGATTTACCCAGCATTCATCAACAACAACACCAAAGTCAAGGGCAAGTTGCTTGTACAAATGTGTAGGACACAGTTGAGTAAGATGTAGTCCACGTCTGTATTAATAATGTCTGCCAAGTGAGTCCCTCTACCACAATTCAGTCACAAAAGAATGACTGTTGATTTAACCAGTACGTGTCAAAAACAACATTGAAGCAGCGAGTAATTTAACTGGGGGAACGTAGCCTTGAAGTGCTGGCAGCAAATTCAAAATGGGAACACACTATGTTTTCTCTCTTCTGATCTGATTTAAAGAACAAGCTGTATTATACATCTTGCTAGTAATTCCTAAGAACAGGTAGTCCCAATTTCCCCCACCCCCATCCCATGCACATGGCCTTTATTCCACAGGAAGAATATCACAGGAAGCAAAGCAAATCTACAATACTACAGTATTATGGAAAAATACCACAGCAATTCATATAAAATACTAAGGTGAGAGTACAAGACAGATCAGATTAGTAATAGAACATACATAGCAACATAAATGGGTGCAAATACGTATATCTTAAAATCTTACTCTCTTCTCCACTTTCATTAATGGAATCTCTGGTCCTAACCACTCCATCAACTACTATCCCACAAGACAATCTTTTCTGTCTTTCACCCATGTGGCAGATATATCTTGAATGCTCAAAAGGCAGAAAGGAAGATTTGCTGTTAGTTCAATTCAAGATTCTAATTTACATTCATTTCTTTCTCATTTGCACCATTGGGAAGGGAGCTCTTTTATGACACAGTTCCATGGCCATTTCCTGCAGCATTTTTTATGCCTAAATGCCTACAGTCCTGCACCAGTTAGGGGCATCCCAGATTAGTTACAGTGACTACAAGCACAAAGAGTCTATTCTATTTTATTTTTCTCCCAGAATGTTCTGAATTGAAGCAGTGTCTAAAACCTGTTGCAGAAATCTTCACCTGTTCCATGACTACAACTGATGATGAAAATGCATAGAAAAATAAAAATAAAGCAAACTTGCATAACATGAAAACACGACAATAGGAAATAAACAAAACAAATGCAAATTGAATTCATGTCATTGAATAATAAAAAGAATGTCAATAAGAAATAAACAAAATAAATGTAAATTGAATTAATGTCATCATTGATTACATTGAATGAATGTAATCATGCAAACAGTGTACCACACTCTCTTGGTTCTATTGGGCTATAAACTTTATATGTCTATTACACAATGAACTTTACAAAAAAATGTGAATACACTCCTATTGCACAAAACTAGGTGCTCTCCCAGTTTCTCATATTTGCTTTCATTTCAGGAAGTTCTTAGCAATTCAGTGAAACCTCTAGTTCAGTGGTTCCCAATCTTGGGTCCCCAGATGTGTTTGGACTACAACCCCAAGAAATCCTTATCAGCACAGTTAGTGGTAAAGGATTATGAGAGATTTAGTCTAAGAACATATGGGACTCAAGGTTGGGAACCACCGCACTAGTGCCTCACAAATGGCAATCAGTAACTGCATAAACATTCTAGATATATGCACTGGCTAGATTGGGGCGAGGGGTGTTGGCGATTCTGTTCTAAACTAAACTGAAATGTATCAGAAACATATTGCTATTTGACATTTTGAATTTATACCACCAATATATGTATATGTTACGAGTGCCTTAGAGAGCTCTTAAAAAAAAAAAGCAAGAGCTTTACAGACAGAACAAAAATCAAGGAAGCAACCTGTAAAATGCTAATTTGTTCCCATTTCCCAAAGAAACTTCTCTAATACCTGCTGGCTTAGTATGAAACTCTTCCTGATATTGCAAGATGAACTTCAAACATCAGATAAAATATAGATGTCTGTGACATGAATGGAAACTGGTGATTTCTCCAGATCAAGATTAGCATAGTCTGGCAGTGAACGTGTTTGGATTTAAAGGTAAAAGATGACACATGCATAGATACACCAAAACAAAAGTATATTGCTGCTGCAAAATGTGTAGTTTAATATGTGTAATAATATTGTAATATATAGCAATATATTTTACGTGAATGACTTGTGTTTTCTGCCAACATAATAGTATCAGTCAAATTCTACCTCCTGCAGCCCTCCAATCTGATCCAGAAGACAAGAGGATCTTAAAGGGCAGATTTTGATAGTATGTGTGTTACGTGTTTTGGAGCCCTATCCAATTTATAACAACCCTAATAAACCTTTCAGGGTAAATGAGATATTAAAGTGTCTTTACCAGTGCCACCCCCCCATGAGTTTCTCTGGTCAAGCAGAGATTTGAACCCAGGTCTCCTGAATCCTAGTCCATCACTTCATCCACTACTTGCCACACTGGGTATAGATTGAAAGTAGGGAGCAGGCGATTGAAAGTAGGTGACTGGGGAGATCCTGTTACACAACTGAAAGTTTGGTTGTTGTGGGTTTTTCGTGCTTCTTGGCCGTGTTCTGCAAGTGGTTCTTCCTAACGTTTCGCCAGTCTCTGTGGCTGGCATCTTCAGAGGACAGCAAACTGTGCTCTGGGTAGGCTTGAGAGGGGGTGGAGGATTTATGGCTGTGAGAAGGCTAGTTTGTGAGGTAGGCTATTGTCCTAATCAGGAAATGGTTGATTAATGTTTTGTTGTGGATGTATTGTTTTGATGAGGAGGGGAGATTATCTGTCCCTGTGGTTGATGGGTGTCATTAGCTGGTCTTTTGTGTGCAGTAATCCCCTGACCTTGTGGCTGGGTGGAGTTCGTTGACCTTTTGCACTCTGTGTTTTTGAGAGCTGGGAGCTAGGTTTTGTTGAGTTTCAAACTGAAAGTTTGTTCGTACTTTATTGGATGTTCACATGTGTGTGTGTGACCTACAATACATAGTTCAGCAATGTATTATGTTTTTGGGTATATATAGTACATCAATAGCATGTTTTTAAATCCAGTGTATTGAAAATGCTTATCTATCAAGGTGAAGATTTTATCTTATATGTCTGTATTACAGATGAAAAATGATGATCAAGAAAGACTTAAGCCATTAATAAGTCTTTCTTGATGGTCACATAAACCCAAAACAACAACTTGCCGTCTCCCTGCCCCTCCACACCGCATCTGCCTAGGTTCAAAGAGAATATAAAACTTTCTGCCTAAGTGACTCCCCAAGAAGGAATCAGAGGATTCATGAGACAAGGGTTTTCCAAAGCAATTTCCTACCACCTTTTAAAACTTTAGATCTCATAGAGATTTTCCAGATTGAGCTGGATTAGAGTTTATGAAACGAGTGAAACTGATCTCTTTTGACCCATAAGACATTGAGGGCCAGATCTTTCAGAAGATCACTGTGCATGTTGCTTTTTAATGTTTGTTTTTGCTTTACAAAAAAGACATTTTTCCATACACACAATCAGGTATGTAATACCTTTGAATCAGGTCAACATCCCTTCCTTTCCTTCTATGGAGGACATCCTCCATTATTTGCTAGCTTTTGTTTTAAGTGTGGCATTAAACAAGCATGCAATTAATACCGTTTTGCTTGCCATGTACAATATTGTCTGTCTTTTTATAATGTTTTTTCTCAAACTCTTGCAGGACCATCTCTCTTCCTCAAATGCAAGAATGGGTGATACCTTTCACTGGACCACTAAAAAGATTAAACATTCTTTCTGTTTCTCAAGATACTTGTAATTAGTAAATGTGGCTATCTGTATCACAAGAATCGAATTACTTCATTATGTATCACTGAATACTAATACAGGAATTATTGTACAACAGGTAAGAGGCAAGGAAGGAGCAGGAATCAAAACATCTTTTCAAAAATTCCTTCCTTGTTTCCAAGACAACAATTTATCTCTTCAGCAGTATGTGAGAGTGAATGGAGAACTGACCAGAATAGGTTCTTGTTAGAAATGGGAACAAACTGAACTTTGAACCAGAAAAAATAATGAATTGGGCTGGTTCATGATTTGGTTTGGGGATCCCATTTTACCAAAATGAAACACCAAACTTTTGTCCTCTTGGCACTTTGTTTTGCATTGGCAAAATAAGCCCCTTCTCTGTCTCCATCACATCCCTAGCTTGTATTGAAGCTGCTGCTGCCACCACTGCTATCACCATCCTGAGAAGAAGCAAGCCCAGCTCCTTGCACAGAAACCAGGTCTGCTGTTTGTGCACATGTGCTGAGCAGTGGGTTAATGTGCATAGGCAGCAGGCCTGGCTTCCATGCAGGAAGTTGTCTGTGCGCATGCACCCACAAGGTAGGTTCCCCCGGCACAAACCCAAAAATGCATCATGAACCAGTTCATTTTAGAGGGGAGGTGATGTGATAATTCATGGTTTGTGGTTGGAGGGTAGTCACAAACCATCACAAATCACCCATTTCCCAATCCATACCCATCTTTAGTCCTAGTTCCTTTGAGTGTGATGGCCTGGAATCAGAGGGATTGACTGTTTTCTAGGACTTAGATGAGTGTTGCTGCTATATTAATCTGTATCCAGAGGCTCGGAAGCCTGTGGAAGCAACAAGTCAATTCTCTGGCTCGCATCCACACTCCTGCTTATCTCAGACCTTGCTCTCTTGACCCTAGGCTTTGGACTCTGACTTCTGACTACGGTTTGTGTTTTGGCTTTGGCAATTTGACATCTGCTTTGTATCTCCCGGACGTCTGACTTTGGACTGACTTATTGGACTTTCCCCTGCAGTATTCCCCGGAAATGTGACATGCCTGAAGACAATAATCCCAAGCTGTATTGAAGCCAGGATCAGCCTTAACAATGAAAAGAATAGAGCAAATCCATCAGGCAGCAGATGCTGGGGGCAGGAAAGGCCCTTTTGAGTCCCTTCATCACTTCTCTTTCCTGGAAGGTGGAGCTGTGTATGCCATATGGCTGATCCTATCTATCCAAACTCTTCTGCTGCCCTCAGGAAGTTGCTATTCAATTACCAGTATTCATCTGGATGGGGAATGAGGGAGACGGAAATCCCTTCCCTTTGCATCAAGTAGCAAAATGTATTGGGTTAGCAAGTATGAAACAACCATTTGCCTATCAGAAATAAAGATTATGTATAAATAGAGAAACTGGCTAAGTAGCTCATTGAATTTGGTTGTTTGGCATCCATTCTTCCACTTTGCCTCTCAGGAGGAGGACCAGCTGCATACCCTTGGCAAGCTGTACACTCCCAGGGCATCCCCTGAACATGAAACTGGTAAACCTCTTCTGCGTACTCTATAGCTAAAAAGAAACTTTTGAAAGTGTTGCCTTAAGTTGGACTGAACTTGGTGGCACACAATTATTATATAAATGGAGGAGGGACTGCTACATACATACATACATACATACATACGTATACGTATACGTATACGTATACGTATACGTATACGTATACGTATACGTATACGTATACGTATACGTATACGTATACGTATACGTATACGTATACGTATACGTATACGTATACGTATACGTATACGTATACGTATACGTATACGTATACGATAGTAAATATATATTTATATAATAACATATTTACATAATAATTGAGGCACCACTGTATTAAATTTTATTTTAAATATATATCTATTTAATACAGTGGTGCCTCACTTAACGAGTGCCCCATTTAACGACAAAACCGCTTAGCGACAAAGAATTTGCGATCAAGAAAGCGATCGCATTGCGATGTTTTAAACAGAAAAAAATCACTTTGCGATCATCGGTAAGCTGTTTCGCTTACTGATTATCGCATAGCGATCTTTTTCCTACAGCTGATTGGCGGTTCCAAAATGGCCGCTGGGTAAAAAACATGGCCACTCACTGTTTTCTGGGATGGATTCCTCACATACCGGGCAGCGAAAATGGCTGCTGTATGGAGGATTTTCGCTTAAAGGTAAGTTTCAATGCATTCCTATGGGTTTTTTCAATGCATTCCTATGGGCTTTTTAAAACCACATAGCGATGAAATCGCTTTGCAGCAATTTTTGCTGCACAGATTATCGTCGCTATGCGGGGCACCACTGTATTACATTTATATTTAATATTAGAATGAGACAATTGATATGCAAAAAATCCAGAGAGACTGAAAAAATAAAATGTATTCTCATTTGACTTGCAACTCCTGCACTAGGAAAGGGGAAAATACTATTAAAACTGGGCCTATAAAAGAAATCCCTCCTTTCTCTGCACCTGCAAGACTTTAGTGATTTTTCTCTGCATCCACAGAGTTAGACTTCTTGCTATATCCACAGTGTTATAATCCCTTCCTCCATATCATAAACACGATAATCTTTCTCTGACTGTTTCAGGTACAGTAATCCTCCCTTCACAGTGACAGCTATCGTAATGCCTCTCGCTGCTTGGTGAGTGTACACAAAAGATCCCCATTCATTGTGTCAGACTTCTCAGTGTGTTTCACACTGCAGTCCCAAATATGTCATCGTAATGCTCTCCCTCTACTTTCAGATACAGCCAGCTTTCCTCCAAAATGACAACCAACTGCACTCTTAATTTAAAACATGTACATCATTCTCTCTCTGTGTGTGTCTCTGTAAAGACCAATTCTGACATAGGCAGGACTGGAATTCAAGGCAAGACACCTGAGCAACTGCTTTGTGTTCCATGTTTGTTGGGAGGGGTGGTAGCAAATAGCTCAGGGGAACCTGTCAATGACTGTCTACTCAAGTATCCACTTGGAAGCTGATATGAATAGTTAATATGAATGAATACATATTTATTGATCCTTGCATGTAAATCCATTCTCTTCTATGGCAGGGATATACCATGCTTGTAAAAACATACAGTATGTCAAAAACATGAAAAGGGCTTCAATGGGGTACACATTACATTACAAAATGGGGCATTGAAAAATGGACTGGAGGAAGGGTGTGCAATTTAGCAAGGTCTGACACTGTTTTTCCACTCCTGAGAAGAGACAACATGAGCAGTATTAATTAGCATAGGGCTGTAACTTAGTAGCACTTGCTGTGCATGGAAAAAGTCCCAGATTCAGCCCCTATCATCTCCAGGTAAGTATCAGTCTTGTCTGAACACCTGGAGAGACATTGTCAATTACCATAGACCATTAATTCCCAACCAGTGGGGGAAGCCTGGCCCTCTGCAAATGGGTAAACAGGATTTCAGGAGAAGTAATATAGCTTGGAAGAACTTGTTCAACTTTATCTGCAAAATGAATTGCTTTCTTAGTACCTATCAGCAGAAATCTTTCTGCTTATTAAAGTCAAAAGTAGAGTAGGCCCATTGAATCAATGGAACTTATGGAGGAATCGACTCACTAAATCCCCACTGATTCAGTTAACCACTTTAGTTTCAACTTACTATGCTAAGCAACAGGATTTAAGCTATTAACATTAAGTACTGCTTGCTATATTTTCATATGATGCTCAGTACTGCACAGCTATTATTAGAGCCATGTACCAGATTCAGACATACCCCAAATCAATATGTTTCAAACCCATTTCAGTGAGGTCAAGATCAAAGTGCAATTATCAGATTAAGGTCTGAAGCACAACACAATGATCAAACCAAACAATTCAGATCAGGGTTTGCATTAAACCAAATGAGCAACAAACCATATCAGCCTATTTGCTGTTCTTGGTTTGAAAAAAAAGCCAACTTTAACAGAGTCTAGCATGCAAATGCCTGAAACTAGCTGTCTGAAATTTTGCAGGTTTCTCGATCTTTTTGGGCTACCCAAGTCTCCAGATTTTATGTTTTGTCAGTGCAAAACCAGAAAAAGTTATAACTGTTTCAATGTTCCAATGCAAGTCAAAGGGAAACATTCAAATCAACTTGGATCCAGGACACAAATCAGATAAGATGGGGCACAAATCACTCTGGAGTGAAATGGGATACTTTCTGAAGTCCGAAATTGGCCTCCAAAACAAACAAGAGGGACTCACACAAATGTCTACCCATTATCCTTATTTTCTCTTTCTTTACCTCTGAATCCTGCTCTTTGTAGGTGGCAGCATAGATGAGTGAGTGAGGTATTTGGCTGCAGAGACAGGGGTTGATAATGCTTTGCTAAATGGCCCATAGGTCTAATTCAGCATATGACCAAGTTCTCCTGTATATTCCTATAGGACTGCCTCCATATACTGAGCTGTCTCTTACAGTCAAGGGACAGTGTTGTTTTCTTCCAACCATGGAAGGTTCTCTGTGTAAAATTGGAGCACAATATGAATCTTGAATTATGTACGGTAAGTATAAGACAATTATATACAATGTTCATAGAAGTGAGTAACCAGGAAGAGATGACTGAGACAGCAAGGAAGTTAAGATAGCAGAAACCAATATCAGCAGAGAGCCTGGAGGGACGCAGCATCAGCAGATGACTCAATTGGCAAACAACAGTCTTCTATGCTCAGAGGTCAGAATCCAGTTTATGAGCTCAACAGAGCCGAAGGCATTCCTCACACCTTGTAGTCAAGATGCTGCCTTAGCAGGAGCCACAGTAGCAGCAAACTAATGCAATCAGTAAACAATTGGTTTCTCTGCTTCAAGCCACACTTGGTTTTTCAGAACTATTTTACAAGGTAAGTGAAAGAAAATGAAGCCCTGAGGGAAATGAGGCATTTGCAGTACAATCCTATGCAGGCCTGCTAAGACATACATCCCACCCAGTGCTATGCGTTTACTCCCAGGTAAATGAGAGGAAAACCTTGGGATGGAAACCTGTGAGATGTTTATTTGGACTAACTTCTTTCCACTCAATAATGTTTCTTCTCCAAAAGGAGAAAACATCAACAAATAAAAGTACAGGGCCCGGTTACACTGAACATTTGTATCACTTTTTGACTTGATGTTATTTTTTTAAATTGATCTTCGGTCAGGTGAGTTTTGTTTTGTTGTGCACATCCACTCAGGAGAAATTGCACTCCAAGTTAGAAAGTCTCAATGTCATGGAGGTTTCAGGGAGAATCCACTAAAAGCCAGGATTCTGGGAAGCTCCATGCAGAAAACCATGAAGGAAGACCACTGGCAGGAGAAGACGCACAAGCAGAGGAGGAAAACGGCATACACAATAGGCCAGGAAAGGTGAAGGGGAGAGTGTATGTCTGGAAGTTCCTTCTTTGCCTACACTAAGATGCTTCCCCTGTAGCTGAGCCTGATGGGGGAAGGGGAGGTGGGCACGTGGAAGGAAGAAGTTGTCAAAGTATGTCTGTCTATGTGCTGTTCTGTAGTGGACGCAGAAGCCAGCTTGCAGCAGATGGTAAACCTGCCTAGTTAGTATTCCACCCAGCAGAACTTGTTCTCTCTGTCTGTTTCCCACCTCCTTCCCCCTTAGTCGCTAAGGCCTCATCTAGTCCCTTTCTATTCTCCCAAACCACCAGCCAGGGAAGAAGGAAAGAGGGCAAAGATGGGATTTGTAAACTGCCCTGAGGTCTCCATTAGCTGAGGTTGCTGGGTCTAGCAATCCTCCAAAGGTTGTTTATTGAAACAGAGGCACTCACATATGCCAAACATGCAAAATAAATAAATTCCAAAACCATGTTGAAATAAGAAGTCACAGTGAGGCTACTAACCCCCCCTCCTCAATTGGCAGCCTTAAAAATGCAGGTTTTAGGTTTTTTAAAATCAATGTAAAACATGCAAATCTCGATTCAAACCCAGATTGTATTGCAAGTGTGACCACATTCTATGATTGTTTGGGTGTTATTCCACATTAGAGATGGGGGTGTTTGTATACAAATATGAATATCGCCACACAGCTGGAGTTAATGAGGGTCTGGCCCCTTGGGCTGGACTGTCCATTCATACGTCCTCCACCACTGCTGGCCCCACTCATCCTTCCGATCTCTCCCAGAGCAACGTTCTCTTCCTGGTCAGCCTGAGCAGCCAGACCCTCGTTAACTCCATCTGCGCAGGCATATTCGTATACAAATACCCCCATCTCTATTCCACATAATTTCTTTCTTAGATGCATATGAACAGAGATACATATGTTAATTTTATCATTTCCTGGCTTTCTTGCACAACAAAAAATTGA